TGTTTTTTCCATTAGTGTATTTTTTATTTCATTTATTGTGTTGTCCATCTTTGATTGGTTCTTCTTTATCTCTGTTTAGGGTCTCACTGATATCCTCCACTTTTTTCTCAAGTCCATCCCCATTTTGCTTAGGTCTCTTGCTGTGGTTTTGTCCTTTTCCTTCATTTGGGACATATTCCTCTGTCTCCTCATTTTATCTAACTCTCTGGGTCTGTTTCTCCGTGATAGGAAAGTCACTTATGTCTCCTGTTCTTGAAAGTTGTAGCTTTATGAGGAGGAGTTCCTGTAGTGTTCTGCAGTGCAGTGTCCCCTGTTCACTGGAAACTGGTGCTTCAGGGGTGTCTACTATGTGTGTTGCATGCACACTGCTGTGGTCCTGTGGTGGCTGAGCCACTTTTGACTTCAGTCCACTCATCCTCAGTGGCTCTCTTTGTCTCTTGTGGGCAGTGTTTGGTCCTTGTGGTGTTAGTGGACCAGTGTTGGGCTGCTGTGGGCTTGGGTTGAGTCAGACCAGGCATTTGCCAGAGCTGTAGTAGCTCTGAACTTCAGGGTGCTCTGTCTGTGTTGTTCCCTGCAAAGCTTTAGTTGGTGGGTGGCACGTGCCGTCAGAGTAGATGTCTGCCTCCAATGCTCTGCTGGGTCAGCAGTCAGACTGCTGTGTGTGGTTATATTCCCCTTGCCCTGGGGCAGTAGTCATTTGGAGTCGTGCTGGCCCCCGTCAGGGCTACTTGCACACTGCCAGGCTTGTGGCCCGGATTTGAATGGGCTCCATCCAAGAGTGTATTGGAGGGTGTAGATCCGCAACATGGGGGCTAGGGGTGTTGCAGTGGGGCAACAGTGTTAGCAAGGTTTGCACACTGCTGGTTTTCTACAGGAGAGGTCCTGAAGTGAACTGAAGCACGCCTGGCTAAAAGGGGCACATTCCTTAAGCCCAGGGAGTGGGGAGCGATGGAAGCAAGTTAGGTAGTGAAAGTCAACACAGCACTGGTTCCTGCAGGTGGGCTGTGGTTTATGCTGCGGGGAAGGTAGGGGTGGGAAATGGTGCTGGCCAGTTTCTTTATTCCTGGAGGAGTAGCCCAGTGATCCTGCCCCTTCAGGACATACTCTAAGTAAATAAATCTCCCTCCCATGGGCCCCAGGCATTTTTCAAATTGTTGCTTCTATTCTGTATCTCTCTAGGCTGTTTGTTGAGCTCTTTCTTTAAGGGTGAGGACTGAGCTTCTTCTTGTCCTCTGGGCTCTTCCACAGCTGGGCCCACTGATTTTTAGAATTCCAGGCTTTAAGTCCCACTGGTTGTATAAACACAAAATTCAGCCCCTCTGGCTTTCAAAGCCAAATGTTAAGGGAATTCATCTTCCCCGTGCGATCTTCTCAGTGTGATAGTCCGTTTCCCTTCTCCGTGCCTGCGGGTTCTTCCCTCCCTTGGACAGGTTCATAGTTGGTTTAGCTCCTCACTGTGTTTCCACCCTTCTTACCCTCTTATATGTGGTCTTTTCTCTACATTTAGTTGTGGAGTTTGTTCTGCCTTCGGGTTGTTTTCTGCTTTTTTACACTGATTATGGGTATTATCTAATTGTATCTGTGCAAAAAGGTGGGCTGAGGGTCCTCCTACTCCGCCATCTTCCCAGCAATCCTCCACCTTGTTGTTTTGGGATTTTTTTGTTGTGTTTTTTGAAATCCACTCAGCCATCCTAAGTCTTGTAATGAGCACTTAGTCCATTTACATTAAAGTAATTATTGATAAGTATGTATGTATTGCCATTTTGTTAATGGTTTTCTGGTTAATTTTGTAATTCTCTTCTCTTGTGATTTTATGACTTTCTTTCATGTGATGTTTGGATTCCTTTCTCTTTTATGTGTTTACCTATTATAGGCTTTTAGTTTGTGGTTGCCACAAGGTTTATATATAACCTATGTATATAGCAGTCTGTTTTAAGTTGGTGGTTGCATACGTTGGAGCATGTTGTAAAAGCACTACATCTTTACTCTCGTTCTGTGTTTTTTTAACATCATGTCTTACATCCTTTTATTTTGTGTGTCCCTTGACTATTGTAGATAGAGTTGATTTTACTACTTTTTCTTTTAACCTTCATCCTACATTTCTCTGTTGATCCACTACCTGTAGTATATGTTTGCTTTTACCACTGAGATTTTTAAAATACATGTCTTATTTCTAGTTATGGTGCTTTCTGCTTAAAGAAGTCCCTTTAATATTTCTTATAAAACCAGTTAAGTGGTGAGGAAGTAAGTACCTTAGTTTTTGCTTTTCTGGGAAACTCTTTACCTCCCCTTCAATTCTGAATGATAACCTTGCTGGGTAAAGTATTCTTGGTTGTAAGTTTTTTCCTTTCAGCACTTTAAATATATTGTGTTTCTCCCTTCTGGCCTAAAAAATCAGCTGATAATCTCATGGGGGTTCCCCTTTTTTTTTTCTCTTGCTGCTTTTAAGATTCTCACTTTATTTTTAAACTTTTAATTGTAACATGACTTCACGTGGACTTATCTGGGTTCATTTTGGGGGGGACTCTCTGTGCTTCTTGGACCTGGATGTCTGTTCCCTTCCACAGGTTTGGGAATTTTTTAGCTATTATTTCTTTAAAAAGTTTTTTGCCTCCTTCTCTCTCTCTCCTTTTTCTGGGACCCCTATAATGTGAATGTTAGTACACCTCATGTTTTCCTAGAGGTCCCTTAAACTATCTTGTACTTAAAATTCTTTTCTTTTTTTCTTTTCTATTTTTTTTTTTTTTTTTTTGCTGTTCATTTTGGATGTCACTACCCTGTCTTCCAGACCTCTGATCCATTTTTCTGTATCTAATCTGCTGTTTATTCCCTCTAGTGTATTTTTCATTTCTGTTATTGTATTCTTCGACTGTGATTGGTACTTTCTTATATTTTCTGTTTGTTGAAGTTCTCAATGTGTTCACTCATTTCTTTTCCCTAGGTCAGGAAGTGTCTTTTTGACCATTACTTTGAATTGTTTATTGGGTAGATTGCTTATTTCTGTTTTGTTCTTTTTCTGAAGTTTTGTCCTTTTCTGTTTGTTTGTTTTCTTTCTGTTTTTGTTGTTTATTCTTTGTTGTTCTTTTGTTTGGAACATATTTTTCCATCTCCTCATTTTGCCTAACCCTTCGTGTTTGTTTCTCTGTATTAGGTAGTTTGCTGTCTCCTGGTCTTGAAGGAGCGGCTTTATGTAGAAGTCCCTTGGGGCGCAGAAACACAACCCCCCTTGGCCACCATAGACTGTTGCTGCCGGGCTCTCCCCTGCGTGGGGTGCATGCGCCCTCCTGTTGTGGCAGCACTTGGACTACAGGTGTGCTGGTGGGAAGGGCTGTCCTCCGGCCCAGCTGGCTGTCACGCCGGCCGCAGCTGCTTCAGGTTGTCTGGTTGTCTGCAAGGCCACGCAGAGGCACAAGGCCCTGTGGGGCTCTCAGCAGTGTGCAACCCCTGGCATTAGCAGTCTGGAGGGCAGATCAGCATGATGGAATGAGTCAGCAAAAACAGTTGCCGCCAGTGTCTGCGTCTCCAGGGAGAGACCCAGCAGTCCCCTGCTTCTCTGAGCAGATGCTCCAAGTTTAATAGGAGGTCTCCTCCACCTGTAGTCTCTGTGCTTTTTGTCTGATATTTTTGTGCTGGTTTCTGGGTTGAGTGAGTCTGCACACGGGCCCTTTAAGAATGGGTTTTCCTTTCCCTACGGTTCTATAGTTTTATGGGTGATTCCCTGGTGGTTCTGAAAGCCAGCTGTTTTGGGGACTGTCTCATCTGTGCAGGATATAAGGCCTGATGTGAGCTTGAATCGCTCACTCTGGAAAAATTTCCATACCTTTGAGATCTGTCTGGACTGCGCAAGACCATGCGCAGTATGGTTTTTCCATTAGTGAGACTGTATTTCTGCCCCTTCTGTCTGTCTCAGTGCTGTGTCTTGTTGTGGAGGTTCTGTTCATCCAGTTTCTAGGTCCCCCTTTAAAAGGAGGAATTCTGTATGTAGTTGTAGATTTGTTGTGTCCGTGGGAGGAGGTGAGCTCTGAATCTTCCTTTGTGGCCATTTTGAACCCTCTTCTCTCCTAATGTATACTTTAAGTCACTATTTCCTGCACCGATAATCTAAAATTATCTAGTGTACAAGTACACAATGAAAGAATTGGGGTCATAGCAATTGCACTACTGGGTATTTACCCCAAAGATACAAATGTAGTGATCCGAAGGGGTACATGCACCCCGATGTTTATAGCAGCAATGTCCACAATAGCCAAACTGTGGAAAGAGCCAAGATGTCCATCGACAGATAAATGGA